ACTTTCTGGGTGGTGAGTGTCCGGCACAACCACCTTCACTTTTGCTGGGCCCGGCTCTCCCCATCGCACCTCTGCAAGTGAGCCTGCCAAGAATATCTGCGCAGCAATGGGTGAAAGGACTGTCACCAAATAATCCACGACAGCCTGGTGATCCTAACGTTTTAGAACAGAAGATATAGTATGGCGTATTCAAGGAGAAAGGATAAAGGATTCGGTGTCTTCAACAGCCTTTGCGGGCATGCGCCGAACGCACGCTACTTCATAGTTAAAGAGGCGATTGTATGCGTGCAAGCCTTTACTTGCGGGGGCCAGCCGATTATAAAGTCAGTGTTTCTATCCTCTTAGATTACTCTGGTAATTAACCGTCTCCTTAGAGTAGAAGGCTTGGTTGGCTCAGAGGCGGGATCGAACCGGCGTCCGACCTAGTCATAGCGGGGCCTCACACCACTACGCTACTCGTACCCGTATGGAGTATTAGGAGACAAATTATTTATTTTCTCAAACAACGTAATCAAATTTACTCACCTTTGACAGATGTCGTTTGATAGAGCTTTTAACGCTCTATTCACGCATATGCGATCTACCTCAACTTTTCCCATTTTAAATTGTGTGCCAAATCATGATTTCTAGCCTAAAAATCTGCGCCAAACATAGCACTTTTTCGAATAAACTGCCTTTTTATACGGAATAATGGAGGATTTTTGTACATTCAAGCAATCATTAGAAAGAGCTTGATTGTACAAATATAGTAATAATATATATGTCTGCGGACTTGGGGGTACACCAGCACAAATTCGAGTGACGTTAAGTCTGGCTGATTTCTTCAATGTGCCGCTCGATGGATTGTGGGTGAGGTGCTGCACGGTGCTGTCAGGATAGCCTGCGAAAGTCATTCTATACAATAGCGTTCAAATTTCTGGTTGTTCATAGTTATTCAAAGAGAGACCTCAAAATGCTAAAAAATAAAGGTGCCTCACTACTTTTAAATCACCCTAATACATTAAACGAAGGAATTGGATGGTTAGGCCTTGTAAACTTAGAAACGTCTCATTTTCAGGAGATTTCTGTAACGCAATCTCTGACATCTTGCAGGTTGTAGAGACTTCCGAGCCAAGGCTCAAGTAGAATCGGAAAGGATCATCTTTGTTTTGCAACAGCCTTTACCAGCGAGAAACTTTACGGCATGTACAGCGACTCAACCCTATAAATGAGCACGATTTAAACACAAGAGTTATAGCAAGCTTGCAGCACCACAGTCAACAGCTAACGATTCAGAACAATTCGTTAGGTGGATTTTATTATCAGACTCAGAACCAGAAAGTATAGAATGAAATTGCTCAAGAAGGACCAGCCTGTTTATCACCACTGAAAACGTTTTAAGTGGAGCACTATTTCCAAAGAAAAGTTCAAGCAATATACTCGAACACGCTCGCAGTGCGATTCCAAGTAGGACATATACAAAGTGTCCCAAAAGTAAGTACGCACTTTTCAGTCGTCAATATCTGTCTTTTCAATGGGTCTTTTTTTTGCCAGTAAGTACCATTCTGTAGAGGAGGCTTCAACTTAGATTTAAGGCATCGATCGAATCACCAATCTCTTTCCGTTACTATAGGATTACGGTAAGAACTTCCAGCATGTGGAACCATTGTGAAACATGCCAGCTGACAAAATGCTCAAAAAATCTGCAAAATTGTGTACTAATGTTTTCGCGCACGCTGATTCCATTACACAACTTTTTATTAGTGTTTTCAGCTTTTTTGACGGTGTAATCACATTTCTTACAAATACTGGGAATTCGGTTATTACGGTTCACCTGGGATAACTTTGGAAAGAAGTATCAGTAAAGTGTAAATTTCATATTCGAAACCAGCGGCTTCCATTACCATAATGTAAGAGTTTTTGGCTTGTTTGGTTTTGTTCCGAGGCAGATTATGGCTTCCATTGGCTTAAAATCCCTGTTGAAGTTCCTACAGTAATCCTGTAGTAATGAAAAGCGATCGGTGATTCGCTCGATACAGTAAATCTAAGTTAAAGCCGGCTCTACAAAACGATGCCTAAATGGCAGAAAAAGACATAATGGGAAAAGAGATATTAACGATTAAAAAGTGTGTACTTACTTTTGAGACAACTTGTACATCTCAAAGCTTCAATTTTACGTTTACGATGGAGCGTTGTAACTGGCAGAGAGGACGCCTTTAGGGAAACCTTTACGATGTGCTGCACATTATTGAAACTCGGTAAAGAGTGGTTATAATGCGGTGGCCTAATTTGCTTCTCGGCTCCTTTTCCCACATCCTCTTGGGATGGACCAGACTGCGCGGTCTGGCTCAACCTTTTCCATGCAACTCATTCTCAGGTTCAATAGCAAAGGCACACCCTCGTATGATTCCGATTTGAGGCGCCAAATCAAGCTAGACCGAAACAAAACAAAACTTCTCTTGTTTGAATGATTATCGCTAAATAATTTATATAATAATTCAATTTTCTAAACCGATCCAGATGTGATCAATCACTTGAAAAGGCCTAGTAAACAGTCCATGACGCTCGTCTGTATCGGGACAGGCTCGAATTCATCTATGAAAAGAACATGAGCCCGCATCCGCCTATGTGAAAGCTAATAAGTGTGGCTAGCTCGCTATCAAATCAGTTTTGAGTTTTTCTACTACGTTGTCTCATACGGCTCTTCATATCTGAATTTTCACCGGCGCGAAGATCGAATCAAATACTACAGACGGGTTCATAAGTTCACATCAAGTTTTAAGTGGAAAAATCCCAATCTGCAAAAAAAGGAAGTCGTCGTAATTTGGTTCTAAACTCCAAATTTCCCGCTTGCTCACGCATATGCCTCCCATCAGATCACAGTGACTACATTTTTGTGATGGCCAGTAATCGAGAAAAAAAACGATGCGCTTAATTTCAATTTTGGTTTTGCTTTTTTTCGCAATGTGTAAACGTAGCGTATTCACTAAGAAGCACTGCCACAAAGTTGGACCTTTGTAGGGCCATAGTTCTTGAGAAATATCAATTTAAAGTTAAAGTGTGAAAAGACTTATGGGATAACCTAATGTAATGCTGCTGCTATAGGTAGGTTCGGTATGCCCCTTCTCCTTATCTTTGACAAATTTGAAATAACGGATATAAAATTATGACAATAGCTGTCATATGATTGGCAGCTCACGATAACAAGAATGACGGCAAGTCAACTGACATCTTGTCAAGTCCCGCTGTTTCTCAGAGTAATCGATTACATTCCGTCGAAATTTATTGAGCAATTTCATTGAAACAACCTCCCGTTTTGCTGACTACAGGCAGAATTATTTACCGTATAGCTGTTATCTCAACGTGGACATTATCAAATTCTGCAAAGTGACAAGTGATCACATAATTACAAAAACATGTTGTAGCGATAAATAGAGCTACTTGTGTAATCAGAACATCATATTCCCCAAACTGCAACTACCCGGATCCAATCTTTCCCTTTTGAAAGTTTTGTGTTTTGCCACCCTCTATATTTCATGTAACCTTTCAGCAACAGGTACTTTTTGTGGCTAATAACATGACGCGACTTTGTGTTTTTACATTTTGGCTTATCTGTTATTTGCATAGGCTAATCGACTTCTTCTAGGAATCTGAAAAAGTTCTGTCACTTTTTGAGATTGCTACCCTATACCCACAGCGCTAGCAAGAGCCAGCCACTATTCGCAGATGCCTCGCTGCTAGGTGATAGGCCAGCACACTAGTAGTTCTTTGATTCATACATATAGAAGAGTTACTGATATGATAGCTGATAGCATAACAGCGAGCGTGACATCTGTGCAATCAGTACGGCTGATCTGCTATAAAGCGATTAGACTCATCCATAATTTTAAGCGCTGGTAAACCTGTACTATGTTGTCATCCGTCTTTATTTGCAACTACGAACGTGTGAAAATGAAAGTTGATGACATAGGCCTGTAAATGACTAGAGGATACGTCATATAGTTGAGTTTAGACTACAAAACAGCAACTGCATTCTTCTACAGATTTCGAGAATGACAGGACTGATAAGCAGGCTGACATCATTGTCACGTATGCATTAATTGTATCTTGATTGCGGAAAGAACAACGCCCAATCAGTCAGGAAATCTAAAAATTGAAATTGAAGCGATGTTTTGAGAAAAATTGATAGGCTACGTTAGAAAAGTGAGGGCAACCGCTTAGCTACGATCCGTTACGGTATCGAGACTTTGCTCTAAGGCCCCGGACAAACTTTACGCGATTTGATCGTCGCGAAAGAAATGAATCGTAACTACACTTTTGAGTTGAAACTATAGAATGTATCTTGAGCTCGTTCGCATTTTTGGTAGGTTTTTCTCGCTACTTTGTGCCGAGTTTGGAGTGCACACGTGCTTTTACTGTTAACTCATCTATCAATTTTCTTACATCTTTATGAAAATAGAAGGATACGAATAATTTTCGCTTTCAGCGTTATTTTAGTGTTTTCTTTTTTCTGAAAATTACTGAAACAGCGAACTAGTTTTGTAGTGATCTCGTTGTTCACGAGCTTCTTTTATTTTGTCAATTTCCTGACTAGTAAACCACTTTTGCTTACTTTTTTCTCTTCAGGATCACTTTCTGTGCAAAATTAAATTAAATTATTCTCATTTCAAATGAAATGAGAAGTCGAACAATGTGTATATAGTTCACACCCTCGCCCATTTCTTGGATTTGCCGCCAAATTTTATCAGGAATGTAAATTGATCCTTAAAATGGACATTTTTTTATTGCGATTTGAAATTCGAAGTCTTCGTACTTTTTAAAGCAATCTAGAAGATCTTTTCCACGACATTGCACTTTCTAAAATCGTTTTGCAATTTGGCCCTTCCGCAGGCGCATAGAATGGGTTTGAAAATGGCCTAATTTTACGTGTACAAGACGTACCCTTTTCTGTTTTCCAAGCAAACAGCTCGGCCGCACCACTGTGCCTTGTGAAACGATAGCTTCCTTATACAATTATTTTAGGTTGAGGGCAGCACGTGAGAGGGTTCTTTGGTAGCAAAGTCTTTTGGTGTGCTCAGGCTGGCCGACTTTGAAGAAGATTGAGGGGGGCGTCTCGTACTCGTAAAACTATATGTAATTTTGTTTTCGCTAGACACAGCCACAGTCAAGACCGCGCAACATGTTAGAAACGTTCGTCGCAAAACTCGACTGGAAATTTCTAGAAAGAGAAAAAAGCATCAAAATGCACTTAAGCAGTGAAAAAGTGAACAAAAGCTCTTGAATGATTCTTGCCGAGCTCACTGAAAACCTAATGTCATGTTGCAAGAGTAACCTTTGATTAGGCCGCCGAAGTGTAAATACAAAAATCCATGAGGTGCACTATTCGATAGACAAAGCAAGATTACAGGAAGGCCACGGACATACGAAGTTCCTAACTTATAGTTCAAAGCAAAGTTCTGGATTGTTTGCCAACTCAATCAAAAATCGAAGCTTACAAAACTGGATTACAAACTTACCACTTGATAGTGAATGGTAGACAATACAAGAACTATGTGCGCACTTACAGTATTTATTGGCTGATGCTCAGACCATTGGAGAAGTTTTAAGCCTTGTTTTAAGAAATGTTGAGGTCTGAGGAAGTGTGCAGGGGCCTACCTCATGTTAATGTACAAAAGAGTGAACTGCGGTTTCAAATAGAAGAGTCTTGTAGGCATCACTGCACACAACAATCATAGCTCCTCGTCGATTTTCAGAATCTTCTTCAGCTTCAGGCATACATAACGAGACTTTGAGTACATCGAAAATTGTATAATGTTTTTTTCAAAGAAGAAGACACATCAAATTTTATTTTTCATGCTGTAGGTTGCTAACCAAAATAAGTTGAAATTCCATACCTTATTTAGTAATTTGCTCGTGCAGTAATGAATTCCAAACGCTCTCTCCCTTCGAGCTCTTGATTCACTTGATCATTCAGGATTGGCAACTGCTTGTTCTTACTGTTCATGTTAGATTTACGTGCATGAAGACGTAAGGTTGAATCATAATGCAAGTAATAGAGAATAAAGGATACTGCGTTCTTATCCTCTGGGGGCATGCGTAGAACGTATACTACCTCATGTTTGAGGAAGCTATATGCGTGCAAACTTTTTATTAGGCTGGAAACTAAGTTTTGCAACTGGTTTCATAACTTCACTCTCTTTGGATATGGCGCACTCAAACTTTGGTATTATGTAGAATGCAATGTGAGCTACAAGTGAGCACAAATTGTTCAAATTTTGAACACGAAATAGAAAAGTTTTAGGCGTTTTTCGAAAACTAGTGAAATTTGAGAATTTTTGGGTTTCAAGCTAAAATGAAGCCTTTGGCAGCCTAGACCTACGCAGTAATCCGGATTCGTTTGCAAATTATTGCTGGAGGTTGACTCCTTTGGCCTAGTAAGAAAGAAAAAGAATTTAGGGCATGTCGAGATTTGGCGTCCTCATAAAGTCGAACGAGTCGATGTACGCAAGAGCTGCTGGGGACGGCCGTCAATGACTTAAGAGTTCGAAGCTCAAATTCCGCCGAGACTTTACATAGTAAGGTTATTTGACCTGCCAAACGCGAATATCACACTCATTTGTTGAATCAACGTCTTTTCCTTGTTTAGGGTAAGACCCCATATCGTACACCTACAGTAATCCTACAAAAAAAGCGCTTATCACGCAATTTCACTGTCGTTTTGGTGATCAGCATGCCGGATAACATCCCTATGCTAAGTTTCAGCCTCCTTCAAACTTTGAATTTTTCCCCTTCATACCATGCACCTACCGTAACCCTCACTGCGACGTCAGAATTTGGTAGGACAGCAGCTGCTCTTGTAGCTTACGTAATTACCAACGCCAAAATTTGAGTGCGCCATGTTGATTGAGAGGGAAGTTATGAGACCAGTTGCAAAACTTATTTTCCAACCCAATAAATGATTTGCGAAGCCCTCCCGACTATCAAGTCAGTGCTTTTTTTATGCTCTCAGGATTATTCCGGTACCAATGTACCGTCCCTGGAACGGGAAGGCTTCGTTAGTCCAGGGGCGAGATAGAACCTTTGTCCGACTTGGTCATAGCGGCATCTCATTTCATTACGCTTGTTCCCTCATAATGCAAGTTCGTTTCCGAAAGCCGGCATCTGATCTCTTTTATATGCTTTCACCGTATACTGTTCTTCAATCCTAAATTGAATATCCTCAAAGTCTACTGGAACTCGGAAATTCTCCCTTATACTTTCCTTGCTCTAAAAAGATAAATATTGTTACTTTTTTGACACTTTCGATAGAGTTTTTCGCAATATATCTTGAATTTCAAACTTAGTTGCACTGCTCAATCGACTATCGGTTATACATTGAGTAGTATGTTCACTCTGGTACATTTAATAGTAGATTATACTCTCTCAAACTGTAGGGTGAAAAGTAAGGGAGCCACGTGCTTGCAAAATATTTTTTGAAGCAACGTAGAACTATCGTCGCATCTGGGAAACAGAGACGTCTTAATTTGCTGAAAGAATGGTCTTTTGCACATGCAAATGGACTTTAACAGCTTGCTCAACGCGTCAAAATTGCTACGCTGCGGATGGCCGTCCAACACTGCAGTAAAAAATCGAGTAAATCGCTACTCGTTGTGTTTCTAGAGCACATGTAAGGAATAGGATCGCTTTGATGTCATAATCCTCACTAAGTATAGTTTTTTTAACATAGGGCCCACTGACTGCGACGCAGTGCGAATTGGAATGAAGACATACTCGAAATTCTGTTAGCGCTGAGAAACTTTACTGCGCAATGTTCAGATCTCAGATATAGGAACTGTTATAAGCGAAAAGCATAAAAGTCATTATGATAGAAGTTTGTGGAAGAAGACATGTCAAGTAATGTAACGCCCATAATTCCCGGTTACAATGTGAAAGCTTCCAGTGAAATTTTTGGCTATTTTGGGCTGAATATATTTCTCCGTGACTACGTTTAAATGTGTTTTAGCTTTCCGTATCCAAAGCTCTGCCATTTGCGATAATTTTATTGGATTAAGTACTATCGTTTTACTGTAGAATTCAACTTTAAGAAAACTTGCACTAATTACGAATTATCTAACAGTAAGAAAAAGAAACTTCATCACCCTTCGAGCTGGAAATTTTTCTTCCTTATATCGCACATGGAGTAATCTTCTACATTACAATTTATCCCTCCCCCCCTCCAATTTTTTTGAAGCTACTTACATGAGTTAATTAGAGGTGACTTGTTTCTACTTTTAGTTGTTACAAAATAATTTTCAAAACTTTTGAAAATTTATTCAAGCCTTATAAAAAATTGTTTCGGGGATGAGCACTGAGGCCCTTATGCAGGTACGTCCCCGTTGCGGAGGGGAGGTGAGCCGAGAAGAAAACGCGTCGTATTTCTGCACATATTTGTGCTCTTCTTTGTCTATTAGGCCTATGAGTTATTGAACCCTCATATCTGAGCATGGAGGATGACAAGACATTGGCCCGTAGTAAGCCTCCGTCATTCCTATTCGACTGAGGCGAAGCTAAGCTGACGTTACGGCGCCTTAGCGCACTGCCAGCGGAACGACTGATCTAGAGCAGGTTGCTTTCTGGAGGTTCGCAGTTTCAAGGCTGAAACAATTTTTGCCATTTCTGCATTATTAGTCAAGTGGATAAGACTAATGCGTTTCAAACAGCAGGACCATGGTTCGAGTTAGCTGTTAGCGGCTGTTAACGGTACGTTTTTTGCTACTTAGCCGGGCGATCTTTGATAGGGCCGGTATTGAGAAAATCGATGATAGCCGCTATCAGGGATGTCATTTAGCAAACAAAAACAAATACACAATATTCTGGCATTTTACGAGGATTTTATACACTTGGCGAAAAATGACAGAAAGGTAAATTCAACTTCTCGTTGTCTGAAGCGGTTCTTTGAGAAAAACAAGCAACAACTGAAGAAAAATGCGAAAAAACTTCTTTTCCGATTTCTTCGCGCAATCAGCTGTTCGTCGATCCTCACTCACTTGGGCCCCCGAAATTGTGCAGTTCTTGGAGTTTTGCACTGCAAAAGAACGTCAACTGCGGTGTCTCATAAGTTACTCGCGAACAACTTACGAGAATTTTTTTGGGTCTCTTTTTAGCACAGTATTTGCGCTATGTCAACGCCCGGCTCATCTCCGATGACTCGATCGGGAGCTGACCTCCTGCCGGGCTTGATCTGAACCTCACCTGTCAGGTGACGTTGCATACGAAAAGTGGGCGGCCCTCTTCACTTGAGGGAGCTCATATCTAGACCTCAGGAGAGATCATCTCCCCTGACGCTTTACTACGTGCCATTGTCACACATGCTAAGGCCTAAAGCACTTCCCGCAATCCCACGAAATCGTACATCCACGCAATTAGGCCGATCTGCCAGGTGTCTACAGATTAATCATGCATGGGTCTCAGATGCATGGGCGCGTATATTTCGTAAGTTGTAGCAAACACCAAGTCTGGGGCAAGCGAAGTGCGTTTACGGCCAACTATAAAAAGTCGTTGCAGTGCCATATCGCGCTGTGACTAAAATCGCGTGAGGTATAGGGCTTATCAAACGCAGTGTCGCTTGCGTGAGCATCTCCACCCGCGCACTCGACTCTGCGTCTCTTCCGCGTACATGCTCTCTAACCATTCCCTATCCATTGGGGTTCCGCCCTTTCTCACGCTCGTCCTGGGAAAGTGCTCAGAAAGCATGTCCCGCTGAAGAGACGCAGAGTCCAGCGCGAAAATGAAGATGCTGGTGCAAACGACACTTGATTTGATAAGCCTTATTTGCCTTAGGCTTAAAGGCACCGTCCACCCAAAATCTCGAATTCAAGTTTTTGTCGCCTTCAGGCCTTCTAAAAGCCCTGATTCCGAATATGGAGTCGAAAATCCGCGAAACTCCAAAAATTCCTGTTTCGAGAACCCTCTGCAACGAGCGCAGGCGAGATAAAGCATGCAGGTGGGCGGGGCAACCGGGGTCGCCCCGCCCACTTTGCTACTTCCGGAGCGGAATTCTCGCTCCAGAAGCAGTCTTTTGCGGCGAAGCTTGGAGGTTTGTCTAGTATGGGGACCCACACTAGTATGCCATCATAATCTCG